TTTTTGCACTGGTTTCTCCCCATCTTCGTGGATTTATCTACCTTTGGTCTTTGACGTTGGTGACCTTTGGATGGGGTTTCTGAGTGGATGTCCTTTTTGTTGATATTGGTGTTATTCCTTTCTGTTTGTTAGTTTTCCTTAGTTTTCCTTCTAACAGGCCCCTCTGCTGCAGGTCTGCTGGAGTTTGCTGGAGGTCCACTCCAGACCCTGTTTGCCAGGGTATCACCAGTGGAAACTCCAGAACAGCAAAGATTGCTGCCTGTTTCTTCCTTTGGAAGCTTTGTCCCAGAGGGGCACCCGCCAGATGCCAGCCGGAGCTCTTTTGTTTGAGGTGTCTGTCGACCCCTGCTGGGAGGTATCTCCCAGTCAGGAAGCAGGAGGGCAGGGACTCACTTGAGGAGGCAGTCTGTCCATTAGCAGAGCTCAAGCACGGTGCTGGGAGATCCACTGCTCTCTTCAGAGCCAACAGGCAGGAATGTTTAAGTCTGCTGAAGTTGTGCCCACAGCCACCCCTGCCCCCAGGTGCTCTGTCCCAGGGAGATGGGGGTTTTATCTATAAGCCCCTGACTGGGGCTGCTGCCTTTTTTTCAGAGATGCCCTACCCAGAGACTGGACATCTGTTTTTAAAAGTTACAAACCTTTTGAAAATACAAGGCCAAAAACTCTTCCCCAGTAACATCCTGAGGAAGTACTGTGAGGAGTGGAACAGAACTATCCTGTTTGTGTGTCTTTATTCTTCCTTCAGTGACATTTCAGTGACTTGCTTATCTCTTCTGGGTTGCATTAATATCAACATATCAAAACAAATAAATGAAGCTGCAACAAAGTGCTTGTTAGTTTGAGAGTTTCTGAAAACACATAAAATAACCATTATGACTTATCAGTGATGTCATTTCTTTATTTTATCTTGAGAATGTAGCATGCACAACTTGCAGTTAAATCCTACTAATCATCGAACCCAACTAATGAATTTTAGCGATTTGAATTCAAATCCAGAAAAAAAGGGATATACTTCCTTTATTACCCTAAACTGTATTGTTTTGATAAGATGCTCTGAGCAGTACTTCATTTTAAATAAATATTTGAAAGGTATTTGCTACCTACTTTGAATGTTCCAAATGCAAATGTGTTTGGCTGCAAAGTAAATAGAATGCTAATTATATATTGCCACCTAGTGGTAATGTCATAACATTGGCAAAAAAGGAATGGAGTTAATGCAGTGGTTCAAATATTTTATTTCAGTTGGAATATCATTGGAATCAATGCAGTAATTCTGTGTAATACTTCCATAGAGCAGCGTGTGTTTAAAAAAATTACAGTAATTGTTTTGCATAGTTCTTTCAATCTTTGCAAAAGTAAATCAAAATTACTTTATATTGAAATTCTATACACTTTGACACATATTAAAAATAGGTTCATATCAAAACTTGAGACATTCATTGTTTACTGTAACAGTTGAGTTTGTATCTAATAAACAGATTTTGTTTTCTTATGGCCCCAACATTACCGAGCTCCCAGTTCTGACATGAGAAAAAAAATTCTTAATAAATGTTTTTAAACATTTAAAATTTTTATTAAATTAAAAATTTCTTTTAAAAATTAAGGGAGTCTGTGTGTGTAGATATATGTGGTATCGAAGTAGAAAACAAAATGGCCCATGATTCTATCCTTAAGCCCTGTTATTTTAAAAAGGCCAAAGTATACAAGAAAATGTATTAGAAGAAAAAGGAAAGAAACCTCTAACCAAGTTTCTTGGTTATCTATTTCTTAGTGTATCTATTTCTAAGATAACCACTGTTTCACTATGAATTATTGCCTATATTTGTAGAAGAAAAAATGGATGAGCCAGCATTTGCATATTTAACTAATTTGAGTTGCCTCAGTTTGATGAGGGTATAATATGAAAAAGTTTAAACCTTTTCACTAACTGCAACTAGCCATGCTTTTTCACCCCTTTCCTGCTGAGGAGTACGTTCCCTTAAAGACTCCTTCATTAGTTTCTCTCAGTCTTTCTTTCATAACTGTCGGCCACTTTCACTCACTAAAATCATCTCATTCTGCTTATTTCAAACCTATCCTCTTCATTTTAAATGTTTTCTCCTCCCCTCACCACAAGCGTGTGGAAGTAGTGGAGAGGGAGATGGGAAAGGAAGACTGTTCTCTTTCACACCTACCCTCCCTGCTGAGCTAGGATGTTTTCACTGTATCTATAGCCTGGTGGTAACAATTGTTAGGTTTCTGTTTGCTTGGGATTTTGTTTGGCAGTAGAGGCTGTAGACCCCCTCAGCTATACCCCTACCTACTATGTTCAAATGAAAGCACATGTGGGTGCCCAATTCTGCCAAATGTGCAAACACTTTAGGAAGAAGGTACTCTTTAGAAGAAGATACTATTTAGACATACATACATACATACATACATACAGTCTCCTACCCTGTTTTTGTAGCTTGGAGAAAGTCACATTGCTCTCAAGCCCTTCTTAGACTTTATTCATGAAAGAGTGGGAAAGCCCGTGCCATCTCCCAAACCTCCAGCCCATCTTTACCACTCACTCCACCAATGAAAAACCATTTTCTGTCAATCCTTAATAACAACAAATTCTCTGGTGTAGATTTTGATAAAGTTCCTATATGAAAAAGAGGCACTTCAGTGCTGAGTGCCTCTGAATGTTGACTCCTGCTTAGAGTGCTTCAAATACATCACTTTGGGGCAGGGGTTGGAGGGACCTGATGTTTGTTACTTCAAATGCTAATTAACCATCCCTAGTGTATAGACTGAAGTTAGATGACAGACATGCACAGGCACGGCACACTGCTTATACTTAACTACTTTAAAAGTAAATTTCCATATAGATAAACAAGATAACTTCTAAACCAGAAGGGACTATTTATTTCACAGATGAAAAATTTTAAGAACAAAGATTTAGTGTCCTAAGCTACCTGATAACATTTGTTAGGGCTAATGTCGTCTCATTACTACTGTTTTCCAGAGTGTCATTGGATCTTTATGCCAGTATTTTGTTAAGTTTCACCAAAAAGTAAAATGTTTTAAATGGGATCATATCAAATTTATAGGCTAATTTAGGGATGATTGAGATGCACTTCAAAATTTCATGTGACAAAAACTCTAAAATAGCAAGGACATTTTTCTTCCCTATCATATTTGCTGCCCACTCCCCTCCCCACAAAAAGGGAAAAAGGTTCATTCTCAGAGGTCAAACTACCAAATACAGTTACTTTCCTAAACTGACTTCCCTCTGTGATCTCCCCTACTTGCTGGTTCCTGAGGCTTCCCTTTTTGGTCTCTGATGAAAAGGCTGGGGCTTTGATGACCCTGCTCTGCCACATCTATGACTGCATGCATCTGGGGCCAGGTGATATGGAAGACAGAGAAGTAAAGCAATGGGGGCTTACAGTCCCCTCCTGAGACTGCAGGTCCTCCAATCTGGGGGGAGGTTTCCCTTCCTCAGAGTTTAGGCTCCCAGGGCTCCCCTTGCCTTCGTACCTGCTCCCAACATGAGATTGCTTGTAGGTTGGGGCACAAGAGAACTGAGAAAAGGAAAATAAAGAAAAATGGAGGGTTAACCCATTCTCTCTGATATTAGGAGTTCTCTTTGTTCAGATAGCACTAGAGGGCTTCCTCTGGGTCTCTGTCAGCCTACTTGTGCCTACTTTTGGGTTTTGGGCTATACTGAGTTCAGACCAGGGGAATACCAGAGAGAAAAAACGGTAAACTCACCACTGGTTTGGTGGTACTTCAGATTCCTGTCCTCTTCCTCTTTTTGTGTGTTACTATTTGCTTTTCAGAGACCGCAAATAGCTGCTCTATCCTGTCCAGGTTTTAGAGCCACATTTTGGGGGAGAAACAAGGTGCAGAGCGTGTTTACTCCATCTTACCTGAAACCAGAACTGAAAGTAACTTTTTCTGAGAAGCTGAACTGAGTCTATCCGTAGGGACTGAATGAACCATAATACATTCATTCATTGGGGTTCTATGCAAGTATTACAAAGAACGTGACTACTCTGTGTGCTGTTACGGAATCATTGTCAAGATGTATTGTTAAATAGCAAACTGTAGAATATTTATAAATATGTATATCTATGCTTATGTGTACATAAAATCTAGGAATACACACACAAAAAAATGGTAACCATGGTGATTTCTGAGGAGAACTAGAAGGCTGGGAGACTGAGGAGATGGAGACCTGACTGACATCTCTGTGCTATTAATATTTGCATGTTTTGGCCGGTTGCAGTGGCTCACGCCTATAATCCCAGCACTTTGGAAGGCTGAGGCAGGCGGATCACCTGAGGTCGGGAATTGGAGACCAGCCTGACCAACATGGAGAAACCCCGTCTCTACTAAAAATACAAAATTAGCCGGGTGTGGTGGTGCGTACCTATAATCCCAGCTCCTCAGGCGGCTGAGGCTGGAGAAGTGCTTAAACCTGGGAGGTGGAGGTTGCGGTGAGCCGAGATCATGCCATTGCACTCCAGCCTGGGCAACAAGAGTGAAACTGTCTCAAAAGAAAAAAAAAAAATTACATGTATTATTGACTGTGGTAGATGAGACCTACTTCAGGTAGGCCTGGTGACACATTAAGAAATAAACCAAGGAAGGAGGTGATGGGCCATTTGTTAACCTAGTCCCTTCTCTTGGCTAAATGCCTCAGAGCCAGCAGTTCTTGGCTTCTCTGACCCCAACTGCTAAAATACTCACCTTAGGGCCTGCCTCCATGAGGAACTAGGGAGATTTCGGATAACCTCAGCCATACGTTCGTATTCTTTCGTTTTATGAATGTATTTGTCAGTTCCATTGTTAAGTGAAGAAATTTAATGGAGGGGGCTAATCTGTGAACCGTAACTGTTCTATAGATAGATATTATGTATGTATAAACACATATTGTATGTGCATGTCTATTTTTTCAATGTACCATTTTTAAGTATACATCAATACCTGATTCCTTTCAAATTATTTTGGGCATGTATTTTTATTTTTAGGCTAATTCACCTAAATAAGATTGATCCTCATGCTCCAAATGAAATGCTGTATGGGCGAATAGGCTACATCTATGCTCTTCTTTTTGTCAATAAGAATTTTGGAGTGGAAAAGATTCCTCAAAGCCATATTCAGCAGGTACCACGTTTTTGTGTTTTTAGGAGTCTCTTTAGGATCCCATTTACTTACTGTCTGCCTAAACTATTGTTTGTGTCTCTCCAGTTAGCACATTCCAAATAAAGGAAGGTGTATCTGGACCTCTAAAGGTTGGGCACAGTCCAAGAACCAATAGCTTCCTACGGAGTGCTGTTGGAAACATTTCTGACTCAGTCAGGCGGCCAGTCTGCTCCATTTCAGAATTTAGAGGTCCTCTCCAAAGAAGATTAGAGCCAAATTTCACCTCCCAAATGGAGGGTCTGCTTTGGTGGTGCCTAGAGGATTTTATGCTTTTGACAGGTGAACTCTTGTAAACTGTAATGCAAAGAGCTCACGCTCCTCTATGCCCTCCCCGTTCTAGGCTGAATATAGTCCCACTCTCTGATGAAGAATTAAACTGTACCTTTCCCTGGCTGAAAGCTAGTGTCTAATTTGTCGTGTTCCTCAGTACCCCTTAGCAAAAAAGTCATTACCTCCTCCAGGAAGGTTTATTGTTCAGTTCACTTGTGATTTTGGTTGGTTCTCTCTCTGCAGATTTGTGAAACAATTTTAACCTCTGGAGAAAACCTAGCTAGGAAGAGAAACTTCACGGCAAAGTCTCCACTGATGTATGAATGGTACCAGGAATATTATGTAGGGGCTGCTCATGGCCTGGCTGGAATTTATTACTACCTGATGCAGGTAAGGAGTGATTGTGGTGGAACTTTAAAATGTCCTTCCTGACCCATGTACTATCATGGGTGAGAAGACAGATGTTCTAGTTCTAGTTTGTCATTATGTCAACCTCTGCATTACAGTACTCTCCTTGTAATTAACTTGACCTAGACAAACAAAAGTAATGTTTACGAAGGTGCCTTTAAAAATGTATAAACATTAAAGGCCTTGCATTTTGAGATGAAGTTTGATTTACAGGTTACCCTACTTGCCCACTTAGCATCACTTGTGCAAACTAAAGTATTTTGACCTATAGTTCTGCATGAAGCACCTCTGCTCTGCTCTTGCAGCCAGTGCTTTGAATTAAAAATATTATTCCACATTAAAAGGCACAACTAATTCCAACAAATTCCAGTCATAGGAACAAAATCAATAGAAAACAAATGAGTGCTTGTTGCCTAATGCTAACTTAGAGAGCAAAGCTGAGGAGACTTTTACTTACCTGTAAAACAGCTGAATATGCTCTGCCCAACAGTTCTTAGGATCTAACACTATTGGGGCACATCAACCAGAGTCAAATAGACTAAAGACAAATAGCATTTACTGCAGCAAACATAACTTGGGAGAGATCAGAAGAGGACTTCTCATGAGGGCATCATTTTGGGAGACTTCTGAAGCACTCCTTAAAGAGAAATTGGCACTTATGAATAAGAATTCATGGCAATTGATTTTTGATGGCAGCAGAGGTACCCCTGTCACCTTCCCAAGGCACACTGTCATATAAAAGTGTTTCATTCACGTGTTCAGCAGGAGTGCTTGGATATACATACTACCAGCTCTTTGAGTAGCTGACTCTTATAATGCAAGATCAGTGTTGGACCTGCCCTCTACCTATAAATAAACAAGGACAACAAAACTGAAAACTCAAGGTTATTATTACTTTTGAATGCAGAGTCACACATTGAGTGTTAGTGGCAATCAGAGACTAACTGGCGTATTTATTCTACACTTTTCAATTAGAGGTTATATAATTAGGATGTTGACATTTAGACTTAAATTTCTTTATTTTTCTGGTGCATGTCTTCCTCTCTATTCCCAGTAGTAAATGTAGATTCCTAAAAGTTTTCAGGAAAGAAGAGTCTTCTGAAGTTTCAAGGTTAGTTAGAATCAAACATATTAGAGGCCCTCTCCAAAGAGGATTAGACAGCCTTATTGAACTTTCATTGAAACAAATAATCAGGAGACATAGTTAGTGACTAGACAGCCTCATCAAACTTTCATTTAAACAAATAATCATGAGACATACTCTGTCTGCTTGTGTTAGCTGTAGTAAGAAATCTGAAAACCCAAGTATTGATTTTTTCATTTGCAGGTTATCATCATATACGAAATGATTTAATTTTTAATCCTGAAAGTCTATTCTAGTAGGTACCCCTTCATTAACATAAAATTAAACATCATTATTTTTAGGCTATGTTGGGTAATTCCTGCAAGTTTGAAGAGAGTCCACTCATTCTACTGTAACACTTTGAGCTTTAATGCTGTTCCTCGTATAAAATGAAATCTGTCTTTTAAATAACTCAGTGCACTTTCAGAATCTTGTGGAAGTCGTATTGTCAACATTACTTTGACCCCACCACAACCACCTCCTGCCTGTGCTTCACACCACTGCCACCCCTTACCACCACATGCCCCACACCTTGCCTAGCATAACAGCACTTTGACTCTGTTAAAGACATTAGCAGTCATTGAATTAAGAACAGGACCAAAAGGAGAAACTAAAACATGTATCAAAAATGGTAGCTCATATGCTTTATGTCAGTATGTCCTTTGGATCTGTACGTTGTTATATCAAAATAATGTGGCATTTAGATCGGTCCTAAATCCTCTGCAAAAAGACAGACCTGATCTAGAGGCATGCTATAGTTTGGAATCTAGATTCCAGGTCTCTTAACTTGTTAGTATCCTTTTTCTATTGAAAATACCACCTATCTCCTCTCTAAATGTAATAACGAAAGTCATGCTTGGTTTGTCTAGTGTATCCCTTTGTGACTTTTAAAGCTTGCTTTATATATGGAAACCATGGGAAACTTCTCTTACACTCACATTCTCAGGTGTTGACTTTGGAAAATTACTTATATGTATGTAGATAACAATATTGAAAAACAATATATACAAAATGTCGAGCACAGTGGCTCACGCCTGTTATCCCAGTAGTCTGGGAGGCTGAGGCGGGCGGATCATCTGAGGTCAGGAGTTCGAGACCAGCCTGTTCAACATGGTGAAACCCCGTCTCTACTAAAAATACAAAAATTAGCCGGGCGTGGTGACAGGTGTCTATAATCCCAAGTACTTGGGAGGCTGAGACAGGAGAATTACTTGAACCCAGGAGATGGAGGTTGCAGGGAGCCAAGATCGTACCATTGCACTCCAGCCTGGGTGACAAGAGTGAAACTCCATCTCAAATAAAAAACAAAAACAATATATTCAAAAGACCCTAAGAGTTAGCTAGTAACCCAATTTTACTTTGTCCCACTGTTTAAAGTTTTTAAATGAAATCACAAAAGATTAAAATAAAGGCATCCAATAGGTGGAAAAATTGAATGAAATCCAAAACCTCTTAATGACCTTCCATTTCCTCTTAGCCATGCTTTTTTTCTGGTTTAAATATACTGAGACCTAGGAAGGTTTGTTTGCTTCAGCAGAACTAATAATTTCCTTCTCATTTTTAGCCCAGCCTTCAAGTGAGCCAAGGGAAGTTACATAGTTTGGTCAAGCCCAGTGTAGACTACGTCTGCCAGCTGAAGTTCCCTTCTGGCAATTACCCTCCGTGTATAGGTGATAATCGAGATCTGCTTGTCCATTGGTGCCATGGCGCCCCTGGGGTCATCTACATGCTCATCCAGGCCTATAAGGTACTGTGTGTATTTTTGAAAAAAAATTTTTAATAACCAAAAATTTATAATTTAAAATTAGTTTTAGCCTAATCCATAAAGGAACAATAAATAAATCTCTTGTGGGACCTAAGATCACTTTGCTAAATGAATTATAATTCATTCTCACCATCTCTCTGTACCATAGCAGGCATGGTTTCATAACCTACTTTCAACAACATTTAGGTTGCAATGAGATACTGTTTATGATCCATCATATTGTCTAGCAATTCCACTCCTAGGTGTGTACCCAAATGAACCAAAACCAAGGATTCAAACAGATACTGTACACCAGCATTCATAGCAGCATTATTTATAATTGCCACAAGGTGAAAATAATCCAAGTATTCATCAAGAGATGAATTGATAAATATATATACAATGGAACATATCACAATGCAATGGAATATTATTCCGCTATTAAAAGAATGACTTTCTGATACATATTACAACATGGATGAACCTTGAAAACATTATGCTAAGTGAAATAAACAGATATAAAAAGACAAATATTGTACGATTCCATTGTAGTGCATAAATAACACTAATAAAAAGCATGCCCTCACAGAACTGCAATCAAAGGTTTGTAGTTGAGAAAAAAAAAAAGATGTCTATGACCATTGGTGCCAAATCAACAAATTACAACTCTGCAGATTATTGCTGGGCACTGGCATCTCATAAATAAGCTGCCAGTGTATCAAATTCTACATTTCAGAGAATTAGACACATTAATACTGGAAAAACTTTTTAAACTGCCTTATCCTACTTTTAAGAACACTTAAGTTGCAATGAGCTATTAAAAATACCTACTCAGAATATTTCCTCAGTCTTTGATGAAGATACAGGAGGCCGTAAAAAATGTAAAGGTCTATCTCTCTTTTTCTGACAAAATCTAATGTTTTATACTCAATTTGCATATTTCCTAAAGAACAGTTGTTCTCCAGTGTTTAAAGAAACTTCCTAATAGTGAAGAGGACATCATAGTTACCAAAGAAGAGAGCATGTGTTCTTTGGAAAGTCACTCATGCTAACAGCAAGTTGCAAGTTAAATAATGCTGCTTCCTCAGTAACATCCACATAAACACACATGCACAGAAAACTTAGACTGTACATACCAAAGTCATGCACAATTTAAAAAACAAAAAGCCAAACTAGTAGATTTTAGTAATGGTCACTAGCAATATAACACATCCCTCTGTCACTAAATCCTTTATCCTTTCTTGCCAAGCCATCTCCCTCTCTCCTCCTTACCTGTCAGGAAGGAGTATCAGTGGAACTTTCTTTTATATCCCGTATAATAGAATGCATGTCCTTTGCCTCTGCAGGTATTCAGAGAGGAAAAGTATCTCTGTGATGCCTATCAGTGTGCTGATGTGATCTGGCAATATGGGTTGCTGAAGAAGGGATATGGGCTGTGCCACGGTGCTGCAGGGAATGCCTATGCCTTCCTGACACTCTACAACCTCACGCAGGATATGAAGTACCTGTATAGGGCCTGTAAGGTAAGAGTCAGAACCACTAAATAGAAAGCAGCTCGGTGGCTCATACCTGTGATCTCAGCACTTTGGGAGGCTGAGGCAGGTGGATCACCTGAGGTCAGGAGTTCGAGACCAGCCTGGCTAACGTGGTCTCTACTTAAAATACAAAAACTTAGCCAGGTGTGGTGGCAGGTGTCTATAATCCCAGCTACTTTGGAGGCTGAGGCATGAGACTCACTTGAACCTGGGAGGCAGAGGTTGCAGTGAGCTGATACCATGCCATTGTACTCTAGCCTGGGTGACAAGAGTGAAACTCCATCTTGAAAAAAAAAGAAAAGAAAAAAAAGCAGGTCTCCCAGGAGGTTGTAGAAAGGGTTCTAGTTCATCTGATTTAATCCATTTATCCCTAAAATCATAGGTCTTGGATAACAAATACAGTTATTTAAGGAAAACCTTCAAAAACCTTTCAATTAAATTAGCATTCCTTTAAAGGGACATAATTCTACTCAGCAGCATTTATGGGAGAAAAAATAAAGACGTAGGGTGATTTAGTGCCTTTCTTCTTAAATAACCTTGGAGATACGTGACTCAGACAGCTCATTAAATTCCTCCCATGCTGTGTACTCTCTCAGACCATCCTTTACTCTGCATTTATCTCCTTTCTCTGATGTGAAGGTAGTGTTTGACTTTTCAGAGTAATTTGTAGAGACAACCTCTTAACTTTCGGGAGGTCTCTGGAAGAAATCACTATACTAATTTAACTTGGTCTCATTTTCAGTTTGCTGAATGGTGCTTAGAGTATGGAGAACATGGATGCAGAACACCAGACACCCCTTTCTCTCTCTTTGAAGGTATTTTGTACACTTTATTTATTTGCCTTATAATATCAGCATCTACTTCTCTGCTTGCTAATTAATGTATTTGAATTTAAGTTTTATCAAAAAATTAAATTATTCTTAAACTACTTTATTTCCTAATATGCTAAATCGATATTAAAAATCAATTAGCACGTGTGCTACCACAGTCCCAATACTGGTAGTCATCAGGTGACTCCCTTTTATGGAGCCAGGCACATGTTGGGCATTTTGCAGATGCCATCATAAATCATTCAGCAAAAAACATACAGGCACTACTACCTTCATGTCACAGCCGAGGAGACTGAGGCTCAGGAGCTTACGTTTGGTAAATGGCAGGGCTGTGACTTGAACTTACCTGGCTCCATTCTCTCTCCAGTCTTCTACCGGTATATAAGGCTGAGCACCTCACTAGTGATCTCTTCTAATGTTGAACTACAATGTCTGTAAACATAGATTTACACTTCATTTAAATCATTGCCATTAATATTGTGATGTTGTTAATGTTAAAAATGGAGCCATCCTTCGTTTTTGCAGAGTTGTAACTGCTCTCGGGGGGTGTCAGTGAGGTGGGGAAAAAGCCATAGGATGCTGAAGGAGGAGGGCCAAGAGGACATCCCCACCCTCCCCTCCAGTATGGCCTTGATCCAGACCTTAGGGACAAGGCTGTCACGGGTGGGCACCCTTTGTTGATGTTTGTGTGTTTGAATAGGCTGAAATGCTGTTGACTTGTTTTGTCTATAAAGATTTGGAGGGAAAAAAAAGCCATCCTGGGAAATGGAGTCATTTGGTATAATAACTTTTGCCTCTTTCTGTTTCTTCAGGAATGGCTGGAACAATATATTTCCTGGCTGACCTGCTAGTCCCCACAAAAGCCAGGTTCCCTGCATTTGAACTCTGAAAGGAAAGCATGCCACCTGTAACTCACTGCATGACCCTTTCTGTATATTCAAACCCAAGCTAAGTGCTTTCGTTGCTTTCCAAGGAAACAAAGAGTCAAACTGTGGACTTGATTTTGTTAGCTTTTTTCAGAATTTGTCTTTCATTCGGTTCATTTCCATTATCATTTACTTTTGCTTAAAAGTATCCAAGGAAGTCTTTTAACTTTAATTTCCATTTCTTCCTAAAGGGAGAGTGAGTGATATGTACAGTGTTTTGAGATTGTATACATATGTTCCAGAACTTGGAGGAAATCTTATTTAAGTTTATGAATATAACCATCTGTTACTGTTCTAAAAATGTTTAAAAGAAACTCAATATAGATAAAAATAAATATGTGACTATTATTGGGTATTGCACTTCACTTTTCTTTAATATTTTTCCTCCAATTGGAGGGCAAACAATTTTATGACTTGCTTTTCTCTAGGTGTTTCATTTTGAAAGGGACAAAAATATAACTAAATGCTTCCAGGAGAAAAATTCCAAGAATTGCAATCTGGACTTGGGACCTAAATATCATTTTTAAAATTCTTGATGCCTATTTAGACTAGAAGTAAACATACTTTCAGATTTGCCTGTTTTTGTCAGCAAGGCATACAGGCTTCAGAAGCCAACATTTTTAATCAAAAACGTATAAAACGTGATGATCATTGTGAAAATTCTGAGTTGAAGGTTAGTTCAAGACAAGCTAACAATAACAGTTTGTGTTTTTTCTAAAATAATCTGGGTTTTTTGGAACTATTTCAGTATTCATTTAAGATCAGGAAGCTAATTTTCTATGTATGAGTATGCTTTGACCTAGGATTTCAGCCCACTCTGACTGACTTTCTAAACTTTGAGTTTTTTACAGTGACTATGCATTAGTGCTGACTCTTTGGTATAAGCCATAAAATATTTTCCTTCTTATCAATTTATCTGAACTTTGATCTTTTCACTAAATAGTACAGTATTCTACTTCGGTTTAAAAAGGGGGGATGAGAAAGGGAATACTATGTAACCAATAACTTGAACAAAAACACTAAGCTTTTAATACAAATGCTTTTTGTTGAGGAGGTATTATCCAGAGTTCATGCTTAGAACAAATGCATCTTTGTGTATCCTAGGCTTAATAATTCATGAGTTTCTGAGACCACAGAATCAGGTTTTCTGTAGTAGATAAAGACTCCCTGGTGCTTCAAATCCCGTACAAATGTTTTGACTCAGCAGCTTTTACTCCTCCTCCTTCCAATACTGCCTTTGCCTGGCTTGTTTTGTCTCTTTGCAACTGATTTTGCAAAAGGAGATTTTGCAACTGATTTTGCAAAAAAAATTGTAGCTTTAAAATAACAGGGTCTAAGTATTTTAAATGTGCCTATTTCACAGCTCTCTTGGTGACAAAAACATGCTATTTTTATTGGAACTTCAAACCAAATCCCTACTGAGTGTGTGCTGGTTCCTGCAGGTAGCAGTCTCCTATTATCTCCTGTTTAGCACCAAAAGAGCTAGTATTATTGGATATCGACCCTTTAAAGGCCACTGGCAGTAGGATTTAAAAAGCAGCCCACTGCTCAATTTCAAGATCAGCTTCCTCCTTCTTGACTTGTGTAAGTCGGCACTACCTTGTGCCTCTCAGATTGCTGAAGTGCTACTGGTAAGCGTGTGCATGCTCTGCCTTTCTTGTGACACGAGCTTTCAGTCAGCAATATCAGCACTTACAGTAAGAAGTAAAAGTAGTGCACAGCAAAGCTAATTTGCCTTTGTCTGTGGTGTTCAACCTGAAAGAATAAAGCTCATTTGGTTTAGTTAAATGTCTTACTCTACTGTGCCTATGCTTTTAGCTACGTTACTAAGCAAGGGAAAGGAACACTTTCTTTGAGCCAAAGGAGACTTGACTTGATCACAGTTCTCCAAGTATCGTGATAGCAATACTTAACCCCAGGAAGATTTCAAGGCAGGGAGAAGAACATTTCAATTAAGATTCTTGTTAACCCATTTATGCCTAGTGTTCCATTATTGGAACACTAAGCTTGTGGGAGTCATTTACATCCTACTGCTCAAAGTCATTGCCAAGGTCTGATTTTTCACACAAAAAATTGCAACCCCCAGCATAAATGGGTTAGGTACAGTCATCTGCTAGCAAATTCATCCACACAAACACAATTCAAGTTTGTTTTAAGCTTTTGAAAACTTATTAAACTGGCACAATTTTATATGTATGCTATTTGTTGTATTTATGCTTAAGAGCAAAAAAGTTTTGATGGGATTTTAAACTCAGGCAAAGCCTACAACGCTGAGACAATCCCCTAACATGGTAGTAACTAAAACTTTTATACTAGGCTTCTTAGTTTTAAAAGGTAGTGGCATCATTGTTTCAGTTCTAGTTCTGTTATATTTTTCTCTTGGATATTTTTCTTCTTGGTAAAAATCCTTCCCAGAAGTTGCTTCCTAGAAAACTCAATACCATCTCTTATCTCTGTACAGGGACTAGGTAATAACCAAGCAGTGTTCATTTATCCCATCACATGTTTCTGTTTCTATAGTAATTTAGAAATTGCAAATAGTTAACTTTTCATCTTGCAAAAAATGTTAACATTATCCTGGCTATTTCCATAGATGCCATGGACTATTATTATTACTATCCTGACTATTTCCATAGATAACTATGGACTATAGTGTGGCCTGAGTTGTCAGTCTTTAATCCTGATTCATGTGGCTCTCTTTTTATCGTTCATGTCAGTTCCAATTATTTGATATCAAAAACCTTCATGGTAGGTAGAGTTTTAGGTAAAAGTGGATCTAGGGTTACTTTCTTTATTAACATTTCCTAAATAACTGAATTGAGAGACATACTCTGCTACTATGTCGTCAGGTTAATTTTTGTCTGATCTTATGATGGTCCTGCCTTTTACTAGCTACTTTAGAAATAGAAAATGTGAAGAGTGACTATTTACGCATCTACTCCTTTGGCTACTAGAACTCATCTATAGTCCTTTATTATTTACACTGAATTACACTGAATTCATTTCTGCTTCCGCTAAATAAGAGCACCTCATTCCTGTGTTTTCTGTACTGTTGAGCTGTAGATGAACTGTTTCTCTAATTATAAAGCAAACTGTTTGGGATATTCAGGGAAACTGCCCAAATGTTATATTGTCATTTAATGGGAAAGGCTGGGATCATATGTATTTTTATGTTCTGTAAAGGATTTGACTTACTGGTTCTCAATAAAATTTTATTAGGACTATATATCATCATGTGCTGTTTGTTTGGTTTGGTTTAAACTTGAGAAATATTTTCCCTCAATGGCAACTGAAGGTTTTTTTCTCTGTACATCCATTTCCTAGGCTTTGTTCCTTTTTCCTCATTGTTGGATAAAACAAGATTTTCTCTGCCGTTTGATAATAGAGATTTATAAGCGGAAAATATTTTTAAATCTGATCATTATAGAATTAAGAGGAATCTACAAGGCTTCAAGAACAACAGTGTATTAACCATCTCATAATATAAGAATCTGCTGTGGGGTTAATAACTAAAGGCCTAATTCTAGAAATTGATTTTCCTGCTGACCAATTCTGCTTTGAATAGAAAAGGGGGGATTAAATGAGGCGTAATCGTAAAATATATATGCAGAGGTTAGAAAAATTTTGCTGAGTCACTTGGGATGACTTTGTGCCACTACTTTTTATGACACAGCTAGTTAGTGTGACTTAGCACAACAGAGATTTGACAAATTATAGAATACTCGTTTTCATCTCTAAATTACAATTTGTGTGCTGGTACATATGATGAAAATGTCCTTCATACCCAAAGTCTATTTATTGAATGATAATACTGAGGATAAATGCAGAGTTACATTTATTTCTCTTATTTGAATGAAGTAAAGCTATGTATGGTAATATCAAGACTCTGGATGTAGGCAGTGAGGCATGGGGAGGACACTACCGTGCAGAGGCCACACAGAGGTTCCCAAATGATGCTTAGAAAGGTCCTGCTAACTCTACGAGGTTAGTTTCCATTGGCAAGGCCAGCTCTAGTTTACTGCTCCCTAGCTTCTCCTCCTACTAGGAGGAAAATGATGACAGGCACAGTAAGTTGCACCACAGTTGTAACCTCATGAACAAAGAAAACTTCAAGATATTTGTTTTTTGTGACTTACCTACAGTATATTTTTTCCTAATTTTGCATTGGAAAAGATCTTAGCCTTTCTCCTCCTCTTCACACTCTCTGAATAGAAAAGAATAATTTTTATGTCATTCTTTTTTTCCAAGATAGTTCCCACTGTGGATTCAAAGTTGTTATTAAAATTCTCATATCTTCTCTATTCTATTAAGCATCATTTAAACTGAAAACCTACAAGTTAGTCCCCTGAAAATTTGCTTTCTCATTGTTTCTCATCCAAATTTGCCCTCTTCCTTCTAAAGCTGTGGGTCAATTAACAGAACAAGAGAACTCAGGCTTTTTTTTTTCTTTTTTGTAACAATGGCACATATATTGGCTTCATTGGTCCCATGATGTAAACTGTCTAAACACTATTTTCCAGAAGCCCTATACTAGTGCATCCTCAGGGACTTATTTGGCAATTTTATGAGTAATAGGAGAAGGCAGCAAAGACAATAAGCCAAGAGATGAAATAATGAGGATTGAGAAATAGATCTTAGCAGAGCTGCTGCTCATAGTCAACCAGTTTAATTTCACATTTCTACATTATGTTAACTTTTCAACCACATGAAAATTACAACATGGTAACATTAAATCTGCAACTAATGTTCTAATACTCAACAAGTAAGTGTTAGACAAAGCATTTCTGAGGTACTTAGTCGTCATGTAGGGAAACACAAGACTTTATAAGTCAGTTTATAAAATAGTGTCCCAATTGCCTAATTTCTCTTTGATGGAGCTGGGATGTTAAGAAAGGCATTTATAAGTCAGAAAATACTGATGTGGCTCACTGTGAAAGATGATACTGTTTTCTCAGGATTCAGCATTCAGAAATGAACATGCCCCCTCCTGCTGATACAATCTGAACTGCTGGCACTTTCAGTTTTTATGACGCAGACATGCCATTTTGTTAATCATACCATGACCAATGCCTTAAAATCATTTATCCCCAAAATTCATTAAACATGCTATCTTTATGTACAAGGTACTGGCTAGGGGATCTGTTTGCTTAAGGTAGACATCTCTACTCTGGCAACTCAGTCTGGTGAAGACAGGTGACTGGATAAGCAATTGCAAGGAAATGTATTATAATAATCCTATCACCACTCCAACTACTCTTCCCATTATTCCATAACTTCATGTATATTGGGTCTCTCATATGGCCTGCAGTTTCTATCTATGGAGATATTGGCGTTTAGAACTGTAATAGGAAGAAGACAATTTAAAAGCCAATCGGCCAGCCCAGAAGCACTCAGAGTTCTTTCATTTGGACCACCTTGATGATGGGCAAGGTGGAGGGAAATTTGAAGACAAAGAGTCCTTTGCCCCCAAAATTACTTTCATTCAGTTGACCAACTTCTCAAAATTCACAGTATTACTATTAATAATTTAGGCTAAATTCATTTTTCTTCAGGAATCCCCCATTAAGATGCAAATATTTTAGAATAGTTACTGATCCTGCTATGTCATAAGCATCTTATTAATTGGTTCATGACCTAGAGAGAAATTAACTTGAATTCAACAACACTGTGTTGCTAGAACATGCTAGTAACAGCATCTAGCTAAGATTAAAAAGATAATATGATATCTGCTCATAAAAGACTGTTTAGATGTGATGATGAGTATAAACAAGTAATTTCAATGTGCTGTGGAACTACACCAGCACTACCGTGTTATGAGTAGCAAATGTATATAGTAGACATGTCATTTTTATTTGCCATCATCTGGCATTCGCCATGATTCATATGGAAGAATTTCATAAAGTGATGGAGGGGTCTATAGTGCCTCAGAGGTCATTTATCCAGGGATACTTCAGTGCTTAAGAACAAAGCTGATCCAGAAAGTATATGTGGGTTAATAAAACTGGTTGAAGAAATTTTGACATCAGGACTTCTCAACCATCAATGTGCATACAAATTACATGGGGATCTTTTTAAGTAATTTCTAAAATGCAGGTCAGGAAGTGCGTGAGATTCTGCATTTCTAACAAATTACCAGATAATGCCCATGCTGGCCAGAGCCTACCTTGAGTGCCATGGAATTAAATTATCCATCATAAATTTCAACTAAATAGAAAAAAAGTAAACTCAGGAGTTGGCTTATGAGTTGGAAGAAATTAATTGATGTTTGTGAAATCAGAGGACTATGCAGTAGAAGCAGGAGCATGAAAGAGCTGGAATGATTGGGGTCTGATTTCTGATATGACACAAATTCTTGTAATGTCAAGGCGAAGGGGGTGGTCTTGAGGTGGCCAGTATTCTGTACTGGTGATTTCAGGAAGTAAAAGAAAATTAACTGGGATAAATATGTGTTTGTAATTTGAATCGGATGATTTTTCAATCCAAAGAGTCACATGCTTCTGGTAATATTAGAATGATAGGAAAGATATCTATAATAAAGAATTCATTTGAGTCATCTAGAATCATCAAGGCTCATATGGGAAAAATTAGGTCCCTCTGCTTCTCATTTACAATTTATAAGGAGTCAAGATTAGCCAACCAACTTTTAAAGATATTAAACACAAAAGTAGATCAATCACATTCTTTAAAAAAAATCTTAGCATATTATGAGTAGTGGTTGTATACTAGAGGTGTCATTTTTCTTTATTTGCCATCATCTGCCATTCACCATTATTCATATATAAAAATTTCATAAAATGATGAGGGCCTATAGTGCCTTAGAGGCCACTTATCCAGGAACACTTCATTGCTTAAGGAAAAAGCTGACCCAGGAAGTTTGGAAACTTAATTATAAATAGGAAAAACCCATTATTCCTCAACTCCTAAATTGAAGCCTGATACAATGAGTGTGATTATTAATAACCCTATCTTCCTGTTCACATAAGCATATTCCCTGGGTGTTTCATTTTTAGAATTGATCCAAGTTTGGATGATTCACATAATCGATGCATTTGCTACCACTTGTAATAGTGAATGTCCAACATGTTTTATTTGATCTCTTACAAGTTCTTACCTACCCAGTTAAAAATTGAGTTGCTAGGAAGTGACATTAGCAAGATGGAAAAATAGGAAGTTCCAGCCCTTGTTTCTCCACAGAAACACTGATATAACAATATGCAAACCGAAATACCTTTAGGAGAATTCCAGAATCCAGGTAAGAAGTTGAAGTACCCTGGCAGGAACAAAACCAGAATATCCACACTGAGATAGGTAAGAAAAGCAATTTCATTTTACCCACATCAGCACAGCTCAGCACCGGGAGAGAACAGCCCAACCAGGAGAGAACAACCCAGCTTGCGACTTCCCCTAAGGTGGGAAAAAAGAGTGGTGAATGCATGAGTTCAGCATTCAGGGTTTTTGGAAGACTAACCTGGCGACTGATTTCTGTCTTACCCCACGTATCATTTGGATGCTTGGGGTGGGACAGGAGTAGGATCACTGAGAACAAAAACAAGTGGAGGGAGGCTTGCTGCAGCCAGAAAGACTTAGTGTGATGGAGAGAAGGTATGCAAGTTGAGGCTTCTCTTTAGCGAGGGAGGGAAAATAGTGAAGCATGTATCCAATATTCTGACTCTTTGGAGGGCTGCCCCAAGGGAATGGTTTCTCCCTTTCCTCGGACTACTGACTTAACCAGCATAGTTTGTATACCTGGGGGTCTCTGAGAACAAAGGAGAGTCATGGGTCAGTTTGCTGCAGCTGGCATGACTCAATACAATCAGGAGCTGCACAACTTACGGTGTCTTTCTCAAGAGGGAGAAAGAAGTGGACTGTGCGTCGGACATTCTAGAGGACTGAGGGATATCTGCCTCTCCTGATGCAGGGTGCTGACAGGAAGACAGCATACTTTGGATTCCTGGTGGCCACTGAGAACAAGTGAGAGTGGAGCAGATTGCTATTATAGGACCAGAGAATGTGTAGTCCTACATATAGAGACTAGAGAGAGAGAGAAAGATTACAAGCTCAAAAAAAAAAAAAAAAGGCAAGCTTCTCTAATTGAGAAATTACATGCACAGACCCAGAGAAGTTGCATCTCTCGCAAAAAGGTTTTGGAAGTTCCCAGAATGTCTAGCTTGGTGAAGGTCTTCCTTTGTATGAAGCTAGTGTGTAAACACAGAGAGACGTAGCTGT